TTTTTAAAAAAAAAAAAAAAGCCTCTCTCCATTAAGCTTGAAAGAGAGAGCAAGGTGGAGATCGGTTTGACATAGATAAGGGTGAATTTTTTAGATGAATTATTTTATTGAAATCAATAAACTGGAGTTTAATCAGTCTGGATTGATTAACTACCCATCTCACTGCGGTGGGAATAGGAAATGGATGTGCGGACTTTTTGCTATAAATATCAACAGTTTCATTGCGAATGCTATAAATCATAATACTTCAGAGGATTGTAAACTGAGGTTCCCTCTCTGTCTTGCCTTGTATAAACAGCTCTTGGCCGCAATTTGAAAAGCCTTTGGGAAAGAGCTGTGCAGTGGAAAAAAAGAAAATGTTATGCAGGGAATAGGAGTGTGTTGGGGGCTTCTGCAAATTCGATCCAGAGCTTGAGAAAAACCAAGGAGAAATCTCCCAGTGACTCACTGCAGAGTCAGGCTTTGTAGGGGGAGGATTTTATGTACCTGTTGCTGAATTCATACGTGCTTCACCTGGCTGAAGTAAGATAACCCTGCAGCAGAAGGGACTGCGACACTGGAGGGCTGGTCACTGGAAATTGGGAGTGAAAGGGAACCAAGCTAGAAGATGTCCCCAGGCCTCGTTTCTCTCTCTGATGTCACCTCTTTTTCTGCTCATAAAATCTTCACGAGCAGCGTGTCGGAGCCTCATGCTTCCTCCTTATTCACAATTATTTGCAAACTTCCCTGTGAATTGCACCCCGGCTCTATAAAAAGCTCAGGAAGGTGGCTGGAAACGGTGGCTGGCTGAACTTTGAAATTCACCCTCTGCTCGTTAGTTATGCAAATCCTCAGATACTGCCTCGGGTCTGGCTTTTAGGTCACTAATTGAGCCGGGGCCCACAGTGCTAAATATTGCAAGTGAAAGTGCAATTGGGGCATCCCTTGGGGAGGGGAACGCGCTCGGGGCTCTGCGTGGTGTCAGTGCCCGTGGTGCCCGGCTAGGTTTCGGGGTGATGGAGAGCAAATAGTGATGCTCCGAGCATGAGCGAGTGGCGATCTGCTGGGTGTGTGGTTTTCCAACTCGGTTTTCACTATTTGCAGCTCAGTTTTCCAACTCTATTCAGCCCTGGTGAGATCCATGAAAGTTGGAGGAAAGAGCAAAAGCCCTGTTAATGAGACAGAGGTGTTTTCCATGGACAGGCAGGATTCATGGCATGTACGGTACGTTTTGGGGTGACGGTGGCAGCTGGAGGACGGTGCATTTCCCTGGTCAGCCCCAACATGGGGGACTCCTCTTTGGGACACGGTCGCTTCCCGTGAGACATTCGGTGTATGCGTGCATCAGGCCCCATCGGTCTTCTTCTCTTGAATTATTAACCCACAACCTGCTCCTGGCCCCAGCTGGGATTTGTTGACTGCTTAGCCTGCTGGCCAAGGTACAGGCCTTCCAAACTTTCCTAGAACTGTCTTTCTTTGAACAAAAAGGGCTTCCCTGGAGCACCAGCGGTACCTACGTGATGGGCTTGGCTGGCTAATACCCCAGGATTAGCAGAGGGACAGTTTAAACCTCTGGCCAATGGCAGATGTTTCCTACAGGGGACCCTTCAAGGACGCCCACTCCACCGCTGTTAGCTTTGCGATCGCCCGGATAAGGGGCCAGACCCTTCCCCCGCGCAGCCCCGTGGTGAGGGTGGGCTGAGCCCTATGGGGCTGCGAAGGGGGAGACGAGTCCCGGTGCCCAGCCAGCACCACCACCACCATCCTGTCCTCCTCCTGCCACAGCCAGGCCAAATCCAGGCAGGCAGACGATCCGGATGAGCTGGATGCGGGCTCTGTGCCGCCGGGCTCTGTGAAGGCAAAGCTCTGAAACGGGCTGGTTCCAGCCCACGCGCCGCCCCTGCACTCCAC